TGTTAATTGAAACATTTCTGCTTGGACGGAAACACAAAGAATTACATAATACTCAAACCTGTAACGGAAAAATTTCCGGATCGGGGACTTTACAATTCTTCTATTTTCATATAGCTAGGGATAGGGTACTCCAGGGGTAATTTTGTATGGATAATGTGTAAATAGTGCATATTTCAGAAAACAATTTCTTTAAAACCCAAGAAGATGTATAAAATCTAAACACATAATTACAGTGAAAATGGAAAGTGTCAATTAGATTTACTCTAATATTTTTGTGCAAACGAAGGATTGAAAAGACACAGGGTGTTAAAAATCTGGATATTTGTTATGATTCTTCGTATGAGTTATCTCCCTTAGGAAATTTATATAGGTGGCGGTAGTAAAAAAAAAAAAGGGGGCGGCCTCCATGGAAAGCTGTACTCTGTAAAGTTATTTTGATGCATTATGCGGTATTCAATGCAAATATCCGTGTGAATTGAGAAAACGTTCACTGCATGAAAAGTTGCGTTTAATATAATTTAATAAATTTGTTTACTTAATTAAATTTCTTGTTTTGCATTTAATTTATGTATAACGTTACATTATGTATAAAATATATTGTGATATAATTTACTACATTTTTCAAATAAGTATAACCAGATTTAATGCAAAAAACATCGAGAATAATATAGTTTAATAAAAGAAATTATACGTTTCGTTTAAGAAAATCGACATGTAAAAGTAAATCCGCTTATACTTTAAGTTTAAGTATGTTTTTGGTATTTTATATATGTGATAAATAATGTGTCAATAATTTTTTTTTATTTTATACAGAATAAATATTGTTTACATATTTATTATCGCAAAAAGACAAAAACATTTACATTAAATCATCCTATATATATCGCTTTTGTTTGGCTTTTTATTAACTCTGAAATAATTTAATATTGACAATGTATATTATTAGTACGGTAGTACTAGACCTAGATTTGTCGAAAAAAAATGTATTATGAAACTGGATCAAATTGTTCTGTTTACTTTGATGCTGTTTATTCTAAAACCTACTCGATCCCGTTTGGTAGCCAGAATTGTCCAGTTTCAAAGGATCATCTCTCTCTCTTTCTCTCTCAGCCTTTACTTTTAAACGCATTGCATAAAATATTAATTCAATCAGTTCTTTGAACGTACAAAAATTAATTTGAAATATATGGAGATAACGAACAGTATTCAAGCTCAAAAGTCCATTATACAATACAAAATAGGAGCAGAGCAAACACGGACCTCCAAGAATGACGCAAGACTTACTACTTATTCAAGTATTCTGGCGATAGACCACTGTCATCAAAAATATTGGTAGAACATATTTTAAAAACAGGTGCCCCACCCTGAAATTTTAACAATTTTTTTATGAACCAAATGAATAAAGATATTTGAATTTTTTATATAAAGTTTGATTCAGGAGAATATCATGGAGAGAGAGAGAGAGAGAGAGAGAGAGAGAGAGAGCTCAGAGAGAGAGAGATTTAATTCGAAAGAGATTTTACTTTATACTGAGATCGCTGCTGTATTTGCAAATATCGAATTTTGTAAAAATTGGACTGTGCTACACTCTTAATAATCATAGATTGTTATTTACTATTGTATTTATCTATAAATGCTCATATATTTAAAATTCTTAAAGACGACTTAAATCTGATTTACTTAACATATCTAATTAAATATTAGGAAAAAAATCATCAATATGTCATGATCATTTACACCTCAGGCTCAGTTTTTTTTTTTAATAATAGAGTTATCTGTCCTTCCAAAAAATTTAAATCAAAATCTTTTTTTTAATTTTCTTTCCTTTTAAAGTTTGAGAAATAATAATAAAAAAAATCAAATAGGCCTATCTAATATAAAATGATTTTTCCCTCTACGCGCACGCTATACATAATTATAAATTAGCCAATCAAAATCAGGCAGCAGCATCGCGAATATTCCGAGCCCGCCAAACAGCACCAAACATGTCGGACAGGCCAAGTATCGGAAATTAGTGAGGAGGATGGATCCTTATCATGCTCATGGAATAGTTTCGAATTACCAGTACCATCGGATTCATACATCGATGAAATTATTGGGGAAAATGCAAGACATTTGAGAAAGGGAAGAAAAGGGCACCTCAACATGCTCAAGGTCAAGCAGGTAAACATACTGTTTAAGAAATAAAAGATGGCGAAAAAGTCATTATTTACATGTACATCAACACTAGCTGCAAAATCTAGCTCGCTGGTCTGAAACAATTGGGATGGACGACCAGTCTCCGGTCTGTCAATATATATATTTTTTCGGAGAGCTACAGTTCTGCAGCTACATCAACACTAAAAAACGTGCAACATGACCATGATGACCTTCAATATCTATAGATGACTCGTATATGTATGAACGTCACACTATGTTATATCCAACGTAGCATATTTGGGCAATTTGAGACGAAAAATAAAATATTTTTAGCCGTATAACTATTCAATATGGTATGTCATAATAATCCTTTGGCTAAAACCTTCATAAAAATGACTGACATGTAAAAATTAGCATAATATGTCCGACGGTGAAACCGTTAGGGCGAGCGCAGTTCATTTTCTAAAACTCAAAACATCTCAAATGTCGTTTTACATTGCTTATTACACTGTTATCGCGTGTTTACCGAGTATCGTACATATTTTTTTTTTTTTTGTAAACCATTATTGACGTATATATTCTCTAACGTTGCAGACTCCCAATGCATTGGGATCGAAATTCCTAACTTCTCGGATATTTCCGACAAAATTGGAAATATCCGAGTCGTTGAAGTGACAAAAATATGACGTCACATACAAAGTCGTGTTTACCAGGGATGCAAGCGATAGTTTTGTGGGTAATTACGGCACATGGAAATTGAATTAATTCGTTATTTATTAATTTTATCAAGTAAGTTGTTGCTATTATGCTTATGCCACCATGTTGCTATGCACCGCAAAGGATTATTGGGAGTATGGAATATTTTCACATGGGACGATAAAAATTTCTTTGAACAATGTGCATATTTCAACCCGAATTTCCTCCATTCGTACACGTTGTCTATGGAGCTCGCTACGTGAGCGGCGCTTTGCGCCGCCTCGCTGCGCTCGCTATTAACGCACATGTCGGAGGAATAGCGCATGGAATAGTGCATAAACACTCACTGATAAAGGAAAAAGTATTCGCTGAACTCACATAAAATATGATAGATACAATAGATCAAGTGTAATTGTTATTTAATATTTTTTTATCGCATTCTTGAACTTGACTGTACTAATTTCTCGGCATTTGATTTTTTGTAGTTTTTCTGCATGTAGAAAATGACATCACAATCGCATTTGTTTACTAACAGCTCACAGTTTCCTGAAAGTGAAGGAGTAAGGGGGTTTTATAGAGATACACAAATGTACTGTATTACTCAAATAGAATTAATGTGCAAAAGTTTTATTTCATTATTTCTATAGCTGAAATTAAAAGAATGCTAGAATTCATTACCAAACAAAACATTTTTTATAGGCCGAATAATTATACCCCGGCTAGGTCCCTTCAGAATGAGAGGGCAGTATAATACCGTTTTTGTCTGTCTGTCTGTGCATGCATGTTTTTGTCCATAACGAATTTCCGTCACAGTTCTCAGCAACTGCTAATTGCAAATGCTTGAAATTCTAATTCCTATATACAGCAAAACTCAAATTTAACAAACATAGATACAGATGGCGAACTTTTATTCATGTCCAGCAAAGTCCTTATATAAACCTACAGAAAATCGCTGTATGTAACGAACATGGCTATATATAACAAATTTATGGTTATAACGAAGTAATTTTAAGATATTTTAATGCTTTTTTTTTCATTTAAGTATAACAAATATTTTTCATTACAAATTTCATTAAACATACATAAGATTTTAAGATCATGATGAGGAGTTCGATGAAGATGCAGATGACACTACATTAGCATTGTTAACTCAGAAATTCAATTGATCCTTTAATGATATTGTTCATGTTGACAATAAATTTGAGTTGTGGACACCCGAGTCATCAATAAATACTCCTATGTTTGTGAGTCACCACGTATACATGTAAATCATATATATTTGCCACAATTAAAAAAATTGTTCTGGAAATAAAATCTTTATTTCATCGGTTCTATTTTTAATTTGTTACAGATGTATCCGGTAGCATGGATATGATTATGAAGCTAAAGGATGAATATATATGGCAGGTTTCATTATTTTCTGACATTTCAAATGCATTGGTTAGATAATATTTAAATGTTCAAATCTAAATATTATACACTAAATTCTTTAATTGTGCATCTAAGGAAGTGAAAAGGTTGTATTGACAATTTTTGTAACTGAGGGTGATATCGATTATATAACATACAATAGTTTGAAGTACTGTTAGCTGACTGTTTTATAACAAATTCGGTATAGGATTTCTTATGAATTCACTATATTAAACATATAATGAATTAAGACTATAGCGAAGATCTTTCTTTGGTCCCTTGAAATTTGCTATGAAGGAGTTTTGCAGAATTGCTGTAATTGCAATATATGTATATATGTTATTCCCATATACATGTACATTGTAATAATGTATACTGTATACAAGTATCGTAACTAACTCTGGAATACATTACTGGCCAGGATTCATTTTTGTTTAAATGTTATGTCAACTTCTTGTCAAATGATCATGATGATAGCACAGTTATTTTTAACTGACTTGTGTATTCACATCAAAAAGGGGGGTTGGGGGGGTTGGTTGGTTATATCACTATTGAGCATTCATGATTGGCTCACAGATTTCTTGTTTTGTTAAAGCTACAATTATAATAAAGCAGCATGTATTATGATAAAGCTAAATGATGTACTATCATTGTGTCTAGCTTCAAATGATTTCATTTAAATGCATAATCAGGATGTTTTATTTGTAATTTGATATGTTAATCTGTGAATGTATACTTTCAGACTGCTGCGCATTATGGATATCCCCATGACAATTCACAAAAGCTTGAATGGAAACTGAAATCTGATGGTGGAAACCAAACGTTGAAGTAAGAAAAAAAATAATAACGTACTTTTAAGCTCACAAGAGCTGAAAGCTTAAGCGAGTTTTCCTGATCACATTTTGTCGTCTTCCATCTGTCTTTCTATCTAACCATAAAAAAATCTAGTAACATTTTCAAGGGGAGATGATTTAAATTTAATGAAAATGTCTTTCTATCTAACCATAAAAAAACTAGTAACATTTTCAAGGGGAGATGATTCAAATTTAATGAAAATGTATTGGCAATTTAAAAGAAAATCTTGAACCATTTATCCAGAAAAATTGATACTTATGTTGAAGCATCCTCAATTAAAGTAGCTTTTAGTTTGTTCAAATCATCGTACCTTATTGTTTTCCATGATATGTGATTAAATATCTGTACATGTGTGTCAGACATAGTTGAACAGGATATCAGATGACCAAACTCTACTTGGCACCTTAAATATTGTGTATTGATATGAATACGTATCATATGAAAATTGTACTATGACATGCTGATCACCCGAAAGTAGGGTGGGGCTACACTAAATCATATATTCTTGTTCCTTGCAATTGTCAGATCTTAAAAACACTTGATACACCACACAACTTGTGTGGCATTTCAAGTGTTATAAAGATCTAGACATGTGACCCCATGAGGTGCTCCTGACCCCCCCCCCCCTTTTTTTTGATCAAAGTTATGGCCATGGTTGCTCAGGTGAGTGATGTGGCCTTTGGATCCTTTGTTGGTTTGAAGTATTTATTAAATTTTTACTGAAAGACAAGAGAAAATAAACAATCTACCAACAATTAAGCTATGATAGAGGTAGCCATCTAGTGGATAAGAAATGTTGATATAGAACATGCATATACCATTACTTGGTAATTTATTTTTGGATCACATTCAATTTCAAATGCTGGAATGATTATGTTAAAGGTAAAAGTATTAGTTTATGGATTATGTAGAATATTTTCTGTGGAATAAAATTTATAGTACTGTTCTTTAAATGGAATTCAGGTAATTTGATATGATGAGATCATGTGTTGCAGACCTTCATCAGATGGAAACAAAGAAATGACTGAACATATATGCCAGTACGTCGTAGGCATCTATCTAGCTTGCTGAGCATTTGTTAGAGGTCAGTATAAAGCATATCTTTAATCTAGAATAAAAAATGTAAAGTTTATGTAATAATGTTTAAATGTATGTTAAACATACTTTATTATTATATAGTCTATTTAAAGTCCTTACACAATCTATACAAGCGCAAACAGTTTATAACACTACATAATCACCGGATTTGAGCCTTATTTACCGGAGGGTCAGTGCGCATGCAGCGGCATTGTGACATCACAACACCTCAAACAACATTGTAAACAATGGTTGCAACGACCGCAGCCAGCTGAGTATCTGAGCAGGAAAAATGTTATACATTAAACCTATCACAGGATTATATGGACATATTCCACATAGCATAACTTGGAAAAGAAAACACGGAAGTTACAAATTGTAATCTGAACATTTTTTTTTCTATTTTCAATGACGGAAGTTCTTAAATGAAAATGGTGTCGTCATGCAGCCTTCAATATCTTATTTATTCAAATCTGGACTATATAACAAAACAATAATTATGGACTTTTATGGTGTTGAATATACATGTAGTTTTTTAATCACCAGAAAATATCAATATTGACCTCGGCTTCGTCTCGGTCAATACTGATATTTCTGGTGAGTGGTGAATAACAAACCACATTCAACACCAAAAGAGTCCATAATTGTATAATATTTAATACATCTGGTGAATGATGGTATCATTTATATAAAAATACTTTAATTTAATCATGAAATTTTTTATTTGATTTGCAAGTCAAAAATTCAAACATTGCTCATATGATGATAGTGGAAGAAAAGAATTGTTAACTTCTGAAAGAGATCAACCAAGTGCAAAATTCAAAAAGACTTGGACACAGAGCTCAAAATTTTTTTATAATTATATCTTTACATTGTTAATGTCTAGAATTAAATGAATGCAAATGTTAATTTGCTCACAGTCAATAAAGGGTATATGTTACTCTATAGCTGTGGGTTTACTTTACAACCTTGGATATTTGATATATGTGTGATTGTAATCTCAAGTTTTGAAAAAGAATCTTAATAATCAAATATAAATAATGTATCTTACTAAAGATTTCAGACATTCTTAACTTTTGCTAATTTTTGCTGCAATGTCATATTTTAGGTGCAATACACATATACTTTCAATCCATACAAGACGAAGAAACGCCGATTGGAAAAGCTGATTCCATTAAAGCAAAGAATGGTGATGTACCAAAGAAAGTGGCGTTCTGATGAATGTTAAAAAGTATTCGAAGAACTAGACACCAAAAGTGCCACTCACAAATCAAAGCTGTCTAAAAGGCAGAACATCAGAAGAATTAGGATAAATAAGGAATCCAAAAGAGACAAACCTGATGATGTAGCGATTGAACAGAAATGGGCTATTAGAGATCAAATATCTGAGTTGCTACTGTTTTGCATAATTGTGTTGCTTTTTTTACTTAACTTGAATTGACACATTCAAATGTTATATAAGAAAAATATACCTAGTGTTGTATTTTTGACAGTTAAAGAGTTTTCTGATGCTTGATTACAGATTAAAACTCAGTCATATTTTTTATTGTTTGAAGATCGATTCGCTTATTTTGTATAGTACACATGCACATACATTTTTAATCTTGATTTATAAATTACATTTATGTACAAGTTTGACTTAAATAATTAGTGTATGGACAATTATTGTGAAAAGAAGTAGGAGACAATGCAAGGGTAGTCTGAAAGAGCTTTGCTGGCAGTAAGTTGCAGATCTTGATACCCAAGTAAGAGAAAGGTGGTGTCTAAGACCGATCCTTTTGCTGTTGCTTGTGGGCGAGTGAGGCTTCTCTGTCAGTGGCTTAGTTTGTCTTAGATGTAAAAAATAGACTAAACAGACCAGATAAAGAAATTTCTGAGTAAATAGGGTAAATAGTGATTTTAATGTATATTATATTGCAAGAGTAAGAAATTAATTTGTTTCCGTTCATTTGAAGTAAAGAGTTTAAGACCAGAATTTTTTGCATTAAGTTTAAAGAGTAAGGCTAAAAAATTTTGTAACATGTACTTGTACATATGTTTATACAGGCCTTTTTATATGTACGTTTCGGAGCTTATTCTTGAAATTTTACGGCAAAGACTAGAAGATTATTTACTGAAAATATCATTATCAAAATGTCTTACGTTCCAATGTAAAATTGATTTGATGAGGATATGTTATGTTTCAATCCACAAGTGATAAACCTGATGATGTAGCGATTGAACAGAAATGGGCTATTAGAGATAAATTATCAGTTGTTACTTGTTTTGTGTAATTGTGATACTTTTTCCTTAATTTGAATTCACATAATCATGATATAAAAGAAGTTTTCTTGATGGTGAATTTTTCACAGTCAACATAAAATGTTTACTGTACACAGTTAATGATTCAACAGCTATCTTATTTTTTATTGTTTGCAGATCAACTGGCTTATTGTGTAGCACACATGCCAAACATTCTTAATCTCCGACTTATTTCAATGTTTTTACAAGTTTAACTTGAATAATTAGTGCATGGATATGGATATTTATTGTGACAATAAATAGGAGACAATGCAAGGGTAGTCTGAAAGAGTTTTGCTGGCAGTAAGTTGCAGATCTTGATACCCAAGTAAGAGAAAGGTGGCGTCTCTGACCGATCCTTTTGCTGTTGCTTGTGGGCGAGTGAGGCTTCTCTGTCAGAACTAGACTAAGAAGACATTTCTGCAAAAAATGTATTGTAATAAGAAGAAAAGGCAACTTAACTATTAATAAAGATAAAGAGTTAAAGAACGTTTATCGTGTACATGAATATACTAATGCATGATATTATTTGTACATGAATATTCCAGATATATTGTTTCTGAACATATATTAGGCATAGACTAGCTAGAAGAAAATGCTTTGAGTGTAAAGGTCAATTTTATGTCTCAATTTCAAATTAGCCTAAAATTGTTTTAATGAGATATATGTAGTTTCACAGTATTCATATTCCTGTCTACCTGCTTGTGCTTATTGAAATTCTTAAAATTGAAACGACAAAAGATGTTTAATGTTATAAGTGTACCATTCCCCTAGATCTTGATATACATGTGGAATCATTGCCTCTTTGTCTTGCAATGTTTGTGCTAATTTATATAAATGAATGCCCTTGTATTCCAGTATGTTCACTAATTTGTGTGGTCATAATGTACTTTCTCTTCTGTCCAAAACTTTTTAAGGATGGAAAATAGGAAATTATCATGGAAAAAGATCTCAAAATCTTTTGTGAATGATTTCAAAATTATCACTTTCAACAATATTTTTCAAATTGCATGCTAAAAAGTATAATGACTCTGTGCTTTAAGTTATCCACATTCATTTTTTGAGAAATTTGCCTATAGCACATGTAGAATTTTTTCAAAAAGGCCTTGTATTTCATGCTGTATATGAAAGACACATAATGAGATGAATAAACTTTTATTTTAAATTTACAACCCATTAAACAGTTTTGATAAGGACTGTTTCTATCATGGATATTGTATTTTTTTTTTGAAGTCCAAATAGACTGCAGTTTTTACCTTTTGTGCAGATTTAATGCTGATAGATTTGAATGTTGTATGCAATTCTATTTTGTAAATTGTTGTAATTAATTTGTTTCGATATGAATTATTTTGTGACCCATTGTTATCAGCGTCTAAAAACTTAATTTCCATTAAATTGTGTATTGTAAAATTCTAAATTCTGACAGTATATTTAGAACTATGTAAGAATTTATAATAATAATAATAATGGCATTGAATTCCAATTACTAGTACCTTGGTATAAATTCTGAAATATTATATAGACTTATTAAGTTTTTTAAGATTTATTTGTTTGTATGTCATTAACATAATGTAATAAAATTATATGAAAAATGGATTTGTGTGTGATTGTAAAATAATTGAAAAAAAAATTATATATATCAGAAGTCCATGAATTCACAGTGGTCGGTATAGTAGTAAAGTGAAAATAATGAAATTGAAAACACGAAGACAACACAGTAAAGCATACATAGAAAATTTTTAAAGCATCTGGAGATTTTTAAAAGGATTATGAAAGGACTAATGCTTTACTTTGTGGTCTTTGTGTTTTCAATTTAATTATATATATATATATATATATATATATATATATATATATATATATATATATATATATATATATATATATATATATATATATATATATATATATATATTCTACAAGGAATAATGAAATAAAAATAAATATTAAACTAAATCTTTAATAAATCAATAATAAATGTTTAATCCATGTATATAATTATATTTATACATGAGGTATAATATTAGTTTATGAAAGGGTTAAATTAGACATATTTGGTAAGTTTTCCCGTATATAATTCAGTTTAAGGAAGTATTGTTCAGTAAAGTGTGAATTAAACAAGTAATTAAATAATGAGGTAAAACTCTACATTAAATTTTATTAACCAAACAATATAATATAAACATAAAACTTTATTTTATGTGCATGTTTAATAATGATTATACATTTTACATACTAAAGGTATAACATTTGTTTACGGAAGACTTAAATCTGAATGTATTAGTAAGTTTACAATTTTCCAAACTTTATTAAATTTGTTCTTTTAATTTTCTATTAAACTCGTATTAAATGCTAATTATTTTCTAACGTTTACGATCCCACAATATGTTATACTATGCAGTTAAACATTAAATAACCGCAGCATTAAAATTGCATTTAAGGTAAAAGTAAACCCGACTTTTCATGCAGTGGTTATTGAAAGGAATTTACAAGAACAGACTGGACATATAGCTCGTGTAAATTAAGAGGAAGAAAAATCCATGAAACGAGATAGTATAGCTTGAGAATTACTGTCATCGTGTTGATCAGGGTATCAGCAATTTTCCTTACTACTGACATCAGTATGGTCTATGTCGGAAGTTTAGCTTCTAAGGTAATCCACCAGAATCCAAGAGTAAGCCCTCAGAGAGGAGTTGCAGTCCGATTGTGTCAGCTTACTCAACTTGGAGAGGGAGGATAATGTACCGGCCCCACCGGTACATTTGGACAGCTGTTTGAACAGCTTAATAGGTAGGATTTAATTTAAATTCACTTCTTATATATGATTATTGATTATATTTTATACACTAAAGTATGTATTGGGAAAATGATTGGGGATGGCCAGTTCTTACATGTATCAATATCATGTCCATTTGGAAAAAAATGACATTTTACACATATATAGGTTAGAATAATGTTACTGTGTCTTGGGACAGGCCCTGACCACAGTTAGAATGCCTTCCATATTCCCTCAATGTAGCAGAAAATGGCGGAAACACTCTGAAATGATTTTGGAGAAAATAAATGAAATTGCATTGAAAATAACCATCAAGTATAAATACCAAAGTTAACCTTTTTTTCACAGGGATACATTTCACCCCCCAAAATTAATCCATATAATGGAAGAGTTCTACACTTTTTGTCAACTTTTTTTTTAGACGATTCAAATTTTCATGCCATGTTGAAAGTCAGAAATCTCCGGATCGCTCAGAGTAAATGCGCTGACCAGAGTTAGAGTTGTGACATGATAGCTGTGTTTTTCTTTGAAGTTTGCCGTTGTGTATTCGCAATACAGAACAGGACTACAGTGGGCGGAGCTACTTTCCGTTCTGTATTAACCCTATATACTGTCTTGTTATAAGCCAAATATTCTGTATCTAAAATACGGCACAGTCTAAGAATAAATCTGAATCAATTTATCAAAAGCAAGTACAAATAGTAAATGCTGACTTTTTTTTTTTTTTTTTTCATTATAAAACTTAGAGAAATATTTCCCTAGCAATGTAAAATATCAAACTTTCTCAATTAAAAAAAAAAAAAATATTCCACACAGTATCTACACGTTATTATTTCGATCCAAACAAAAAGGAAAATTCGCAGTTTTGGAAAACATCCTATGTTGAATAAATTTCTGAAAACCTGTTTGCTTTCCCTGCTTTTTCGGGGTCCCCTTTAACATGTTCAAAATAGTTAAGCCAATGGGTTCACGGGTGCAGCATACATTACGCGAATTTCTCACCCCCCCCCCCCATTTTCCACTCTTCTCGTGCAAACTCATTTAAGTCCATTTTTAGCGTTTTTATTTTTTTGAATTTTATCTTAAATTCTTATCGCTGACGATTGCCGCACATTTCTTTCTCTTCGCTTTTTAATGTCGCATTTCAATAAGAAAATAAAAATCCGTGACATCAAAGTTCATAGGAGAACTGTCTGTATCGCCTGCATGTGTATCTAGTTAAACTGAGATTTTAAGACCTCTGAAATAAATTAGGATCAATCTCCATCTACAGCAAGGTTAAATCGTCCACCTTATCAATTAAGACTGACTTCACGTCAGTTACGTCTACCCTGTTGTCAAAACTAATCTGACTTAATCTAACGTTGTCCGTTGAAATATATATCTACTGCGGAGGCATACTACCCGTCGAGGCCTCATCTACAGAGAAAACAAACAAACTCTGGCGGAAGTTTGGATGCTGCACAGCTATAATGTGGGTGGTGCTTTTTCTTATTGATCGTGTCACAAATCATTTAGAGAAGTCGACAGGTATCACAGGTATAACAGGCGGAGACTCGTGCTATGCACTCGTCCACCCCCAAATTTGAATCTACGATACAGAACCCGTCTCGTTCTCCAAATAATACTTATTGCCCGGTTTCTTTCGCTACATAACATTGCTAATACACATTCTATCATTAAACCGGGTCTGTAGGAGAATATCATCTTAACATATGAGTATGAAACATAGTCTGTGCTCTCATCATAAATTAATACATGTACCAAACAACAACCATTATTAAATGTGGCCAAATTTAAGGGATTCAGTGGGAAGGCCCGTGTCATTAGCTTAAAAAAATCTTTGTTTGCAGTTGCGGACCTATAATTTTTAGAGTTGGTAGGTAGGTTTTTAAGGACATTGGCAAGGTTCCTGGATATCGTGTAGAATTTTTCAAGAAATCTTGAGTAGGTTTAATGTACTGAACAAGCTATTTTCTGGATTGTTTAGCCTACCAAGCCAGCCTTCTTTTTCAGATTTTGTCAAATCAGTGTTTTTGCAATTATCAATGCATTTCCTATATAAAATGTTGATAAAAGGGTCCTACATAATTTTCCACCATAATATTTCTCCAAAACCCACTTATTTCATATAGTTTTTGTATTATATACATTATTGTATCTTCATTTCCTATGACTTCTAGATATTTTGGCTGAAAATGTATATATAGAAACAAGACAAGGACATACCGGCACTAATCTTTATTTTTGAGTTACTTCCCTTAACAGCTATAATTACATATTATTCATAATAGTCAAGAGAATCAGACTGGTTGATTGATTCTATCATGTGTTTGACTGAATTGATTGAAAGACATTGTCATAAAATATTGGCATGGATTTATTTCAAATTTTATTCGTAGTTAGTAAATGCTGCTTCCTCCATACAACCTAAGAACTGATCTCAGTCGGTCTACCTTTCAGCATATGTCACATCCTTGCCCTTCCCAGCATACTGAGCATAACTATGGTAAATGACGACCTGTTGACTCTGTCCCCTGAATAAAATTTACAAGAAAGCAATTACTACTTTTCCTTCTTGCTGTATATGATTCTACCAGTTGAAGGAAGTACACTGTTTTTGTTTTTTTTTTACCTCTGTAAACATACGCTTTATTGGTTTTCACCGCTTAGAGAATTCTACACGGGAGATCACTCTCAATCACTATTTCATAAGTGAAAAAAACCCATGTATTCAACCTTTGTTTCTCCGGAAAACATTGACTTGCCATTGTCCTTAAATAAGTTAGTTTTCAGACTTTTAATAGATAACAAGTTATAGAGATATTCATACTTCAAGGCTTACTAAACATAAATAAGCTTCACTTGATAAAATCAGAAATAAAAAAATGGAACACTTTCAATATCCTGAAAAACTGAACCTAAAAAAAAAATAATATTATAAAATCGCTGGAAAAAAGTTTGGGTCGGGTACATTTTCAGTGGGTGGGTAGGCAACTGCAAACAACTTAATTTTTATTTTAGTCCCCAGGTTTATGGCAATTCAAATTGAAACTGAACATGTAAATTTTACTAATTAAAAGAAGTAAATGCTTTATGTTATAAATTTTGATTTTTTACCTCACCTAAGCCAAAGGCTCAAGTAAGCTTTTCTGATCACACTTTGTCAATTATCTGGTGTCGTTCCAGGTGTCAGTGTCATCTTTGTTTAAAACTTTTAACATTTTCATCTTCTTCCAGAACTGCATTCCAAATTTCAACCATATTTGCCACAAAGCATCCTTGGATGAAGGGGATTCAATGTTGTTTAAATGAAGAGCCTTGCCCTCTTTTAAGGGGATATAATTAAAAATAAGTTAAAATTTAATGAATCTTTCAAAAATCTTCTTCTCAAGAACCACTGGAACCGAAAAGATGAAACTTATGAGAAAGCTTTATTACATAATGTAGTTTGTTCGGATCATGACCCCAAGGGATATGGATTGGCCACAATAAGCGATCAAAGTTTTACACACACACACACACACACACACACACACACACACACACATACGTGTACAACCGCAATTCTCACTACACGAGGTTTTACACCTGAAAGTCACTACACTATGTTCCAGCAGTGCTAACAAGATAAACAGACCATAACTGTGATTCTATGGGTCTTTGTATATGCAAATGAGGTTCAGAAAGATGAAAATTCAAATAATGAAAAAATGATTTTTCACCTAAAAGTCACTACATTTGGTCACGTGATTTTGCTCAATCACACACCGGAAGTTGACAAGTCACTACATGGCTTTACCAGGACACACACAGGAAACTCAGTACATAAACACTCTTGTAAGATATTATACAAGAAAATCACTACATTCAGTAAATTTTGAATGCGTTTCCCGTAAAAACACCAATTTTTCCAAAAAATTGTCGAAAATACATGACAATGTCTGCATGAAATCTGTATGCTATAGAAAAAAAAATTGTCAAAGGATATCCGATAAAGTTAAAAGATAAAAAATTGGCTTTCAACATCTGTATATAGATTAAAATAAAGCAAATGAAATGAGAAGAATAAATTAACAGTCATGACAAAGATTTAAAAGTATTAACGGCCAGGCACGTAACATCGTTTTTGAAAATCTTTGGCAAGCAAGAGAAATAGGTTAACTTCAAAAAGTCGAAAATCCTATTGGTGGGTTGAACTTTTGTGAACCCTCCAAAAAATTTCTTTACAATAAAATGACCGCATTTAAATACATAACAAAACAGTGTGTGTATGGGGGTGTGTGGGGGGGGGGGGTTAATGAACACTTTCACAGTAAATTAAAAATAAAACTTTTAAGTTTGAAAAAAGGAGGGGCCAAGCTACCCCTCCCCTCTGCTTTTACGTCGCTGACGGCCGAGTGTGCGTTGATTCAAGACTTGCTTCGTCAAGAATATTCGTTTTGGGTTTTTTTTTTCTGTTGCATTGGGTAAGACAAGTAGGAATTGAAAGTCGTTCCCCAATTTTAAATGCAATCATTATGTTTTTTATGATCTTAAAGAGTTTATTTTTTTCTTAACAAGAATTTTATAGGATTACAAATTACTTAACTACTGTTCATGTAATAACATCTCGTTCTTTTTTATGTGGATGACACCACAACCAGCATTCAAAGGAAAATTTACAATAGTAATATAGTAAATATAGTATATTCAGAAAAGGGGGGGGGGTAGCCTCCGCGTTCTACGGACCTGAAATAAGGGGAAAAATAATGATCCCTCTTATTTATTCTTGCAATTTAATGACTACAAAAAACTGAAATTACTTTGGTGGGGAAAGTCCACTTCATTGTTTTTTTATGCATAACATTCTATCATTTCATATTAATCATTTCATTTTCCAATTCAGCATTTAAAAATCCCATTGCTCAAATATGTTGGTCTCTAAAACCATGATTTTTTACGAAATGCAGTTCATACAGCACCCTTTAGTTTTCTTATCCCTTTGCTCAAATGTTTTACAACATTTTGAAAGATCAAACAAAAAAGACGGTTTGTTTGCATGAAACAATTTAATTGCATCAACTATACAAAAAAGTACATAAAAAGAAGGCTGACATGAAATAAGATACACATGTATAAGCCAAGTGTTAATAGATAATTCTTGCTGTTAATTTTTAAGGTATCCAAAATAAGTTTATTTTCACAGAACAACCAAGGACAATCAGTCAGTATTTGTGCAAAATATAGTGGCATTTTCTTAGTGCATTAAACAACATACAAGTTTCGAAATAAAAAAAAAAAACTCTTCAAGCTTAAAGCTGACAACCAAGCAAGAAATATAAATATCATGCAGTAAATAACTTCCTGTGTTTAAAATGCAACAAAAGGCCCTAGGCTTTGACTATTACCTGAGTATTATGAATTTCTCAGGCTGTGGTCATTTCAAAACCGCCTGGATCTAGAAATCTAGACCCATGCAACAAAAATCGTAAATTTTCACAAGAATTCTATATTTATTATCATATTGATGCAGCTGAACTCCTAGAAGTTCAAAAGTAAAGAGGATAAGGTATACTGGCTAATACTGTATAAAACATTCTAATTTATGACTAACTCTGCCTTTTCATGTGCCTGAAACATGAAGAAGCCTTCAATTAGAGGGCTAAGCATTAATTAAGATTAATTTTAGAGGTCCATGTTTGCTCTGCTACGAATATGGATTATTCTAATGGACTTTTGAGTTTGATTACTATTCATAATCTTCATATTTAATTTTATGCCTGCTAGTTTGCCTGCTAGATCTTCACCAGTAAAGAATTTTTTAAAACTTCAATTTACAGCCCATAGCAAGGGTTTCAAAAGTAGGGGGACTTCAAAAAATATCTGACAAGCAAAAAAAAACATTATTTACTGAACCGACCTTATTGCAACAAAAAGGGGGGGAGGGGAGGGGCAACCAGGATATAAAGGATACTTTAGTATAGCAAAATACTATACTCAGAAAAAGTGGGGGGGGGGGGGTTTCTGGGCCTGTTGCAGTGTCAATATAAATAGGTAAACCTTGCATGAACAATGTGTCATGAGCGATAAATTTCACAAATTTTGGTTAAAAAATAATTACTTGCTTAAATTATGCAAACAGCTGTCTGCTACATGTCCATGAAAAAAAAATTATAGGATATATTTTTTCAATATTCAGCTCCATCCTGAACCTATATGCAAAAATGAATCTCACAATTTTTTGTACTTAAAGAGCTATGGGCTTATATGATATGCATACCATCAACTGCCTGCTGGCAAAACTTCTCACAAAAGAGACATGAATGTTTTTTATTATTATAGTTCCCAGACGATGTTTTTGGCCTCTAAAAACCTGGTCTTTCGCTTCTCTGACTGTGGTAAAACTTTGCCGACATCATCATGATCATCTTCACATTCACTGTCCTTTTCGCTGTCACTTGCAAGTGCAGCTTGTTTCTGCTGCATTTCAGATTTGAGAGGCTTACTGGGCATATCTGAAATTATTATATATGTACATGTATTGGCAAAAGGGATTCATCTTTATTTTTATAGAAGAGGCCAATGGGCCACATGGCTCACCCAAGTCACAATGGCCCTGCACATCCCCCCCCCCCCCCCATATATCCCTATGTAAAGCTTTGATTGCCTATTATGGCCTCATCTTACCCATTCAAACCTAATGAAGAGGGTATGAAAGTTGTTTTCCATACTTTAATCTGTTAGGCATGATTGAAACACTCTATATATGTAAGCTCCTTATGGAGATATTTATAATTTATAATGCTGGCTAATGAACATCATGTTAATGTGATGCAAAGGAATGTAATTTATTTAAAATGAATTTTGTCAATTTATCAGACTGTGATCATGTCTGGAGAAAAAACAACTTATGGAATTAATCCTTAACTGTAATAAAGAAACAGTCATACTTAAAATTCAAGACAGAAATTCTGCCAGAATTTTAATTCACTTTAAACAATCTACATATTGTACAATGTAATACATAACACCTTATACAAGAGGCCCATGGTCCATGACACCTGAGCCCTTTTGCAAGAGAAAAGCAGAAATCAGTTCAGTATTGGAAAGTTTGAGTAATTATACAATTGGTGCCACCCTATGCCCTGTGGGTGATGATTTGAACAAACCTGAAACTACTTCTCCCATCCTACCCCTTGATGTTACGATTTGAATAAATTTGAATGTACACTACCTGAAAAATACTCCTGTATTAATATAACAAATCATGGCTTTGCTGTTCTTGAGAAGAAGGCCTTTAAAGACATTTTCTATATAATTCCATGTAAAAGTCTTATGCCCCATTGTGTCCCCACCCTTCTTCAAGCTACATTACCTGAGTATGCTTCTGTATTAATATGACTTGTCATGGCTTTGCTGTTCTGGAGAATAATTTTTCTGGCCCACTCAGACCTGTTTAACTTTTCTAACTGATGTCAGTATTCTAGAAGTTGTCAGTATTTTGAGCAGTTTGTCAGTAAAAATGCAACTCAGCTTATTAGACATTTTTATATGAAGAACCCCTTGTTATACAAATACTAAGCACTAACTACGCAAGTCACCGTATGCTGTCTACTGTTGCTTACATATTTTACATTTGCCGTAATTATATTGTTTTTAGATCATTTTTGATAAGACCACTTCAATCAACAAGCTTCTTTATCAAACTGATTGGCAAATTTCGGGAACGACTCTGATTTTTTCCGTCTTTAGGGAAAATCTGTATATTTTCAACGTGAATCTGTAGAGCACTTTTTTACTCGAAGATTCATGGAAAATACTAAAAAGCTGTACAAGTAAACAACTCTTCCCATTGTTTCTGGAGAAGATTTTTTTAAAGATGCCATCAAATTTGCACTTATTTTTGATTATATCCCCTTAAAATAGGGTGATGCCTTTCATGTGAACAAACTTGAATCCCCCACCGAAGAATACTTTGTGGCAAGTTTGGTTGAAATTGACGCAGTGGTTCTTGAGAAGGAGCTGAAAATTTGAAACAACAGTGACGCTGGAGATGGACAATGGACAAACTTTGATCAGAAAAGCTTACTTCAGCTTAAGAAAGTTCTGTTTTCAGCTTTATTACCAAGATCATTAATGGTATCTTCATCACAGCTTTTTTCATCGCTTGAAGGATGGTATGATTCATCATCATTACCATCATCATACTCGTCTGCTTCATCACTTAAAAGTGGCCCTGTATCATGTCCTATTTAAAATTCTAAAAAAGAAATTATCATTTTAAGACTGTTCATTTTTTTGGGGTTAACTTTTAATTTGTAACATCCAAACAACATCATAAATATAGATTACCATTCTCATTGACAACATCATGACTGCTGCTTTCATTTACAAATGATTGGTGTGATTCCTCATCCTGCTCAATTGCAAAAGACTCTGTCAAAACATTCAAATTAGATATTAAATTGGAAAATACACTTTTCTTAAAAAGTAAGATTCAAATTTATGAATACAATAGGGGTTATCTATTTTTTTTTCTTTTTGCCTTTACTATGCATGCAAAGAAGAGTCCCATAGGCTACAACATTTCCCATGTAAAAGAAGCTTTTCTTAATGTTTATAAAGAGTTTTTCTCCTTAATTTTCTCATGCAAAATTTTGAACTCATATTATGACCCTATCCAAACTCTAAAGGGTCTCTGAATCCACTATCCCCCCCCCCCCCCCCCGCTTCCTTCCTCCCTTTGGCCATGATTTGAACAAAAAGGAAGCTACAAGAAGGTTTAAAAATACTTTTTGTGGTCCAGTTGTTCTTAAGAGGATTCGTAAAGATTTTAACCAGTACATAAATGTATGTATATATTTCAAGGTAAATCTTTGATCCCCTATTGTGGCCCCATCTACCTCAAAGGCCATTTTTTGAACAATTTAAAATCTTTATTACATCAGGAAGCTTTCACATAAATTTCAGCTCCTGACCAGTAAAGTGAGAGTATTATGGGCTTTGAGAAGAAAATACACATTATGGTTTAATTTGACCTCCAAATCTTTTTTCTAGTACCATAATAGTGTACGATACATTTATTAACTTGACAACATACCAATCTTCTCCTGGATTTTGTATGCTGGTGAGCACAGACTGTGCTCACAGTTTCCAGCAAAGTTATCAGCTGTAACTCTAAACTCTCACTCTGAGTCCTGAGGAAGATCGGTGACAGTAAAGAGGGGTCAGTGCAGGGGTACTCATTTCTCTGTTCCCTTAAACCTCTTTTCTACAAGGTAGTCTACAAAGATAATCAATATTATCAACTGCTACAGTGTTTATGTGGTTTTGAACAGAGATCATCATTTCCCTTTTTTTATTCTACTTTTAAATTAGTACCTGTAATTTTACAGCCACCATTATGTTTAGGTGGTTCCCATTTCAGATAAGTTATAGAATTGTTGACAGCCTCTGGTACACCAGGTGGCAAAACCTTGGCTAAAATAAAAGTTTAAAAACGTGAAAGAAAAAATAATTGAAAATAAAGTACAATATGGTAATTGTTTTTTAAAATGTTATAATTTTTTTCAAATATACTTACTGTATTTGGGCTTGGGAGTTATGGGACCAATCACATCACTAGACTCACTAATTTAAAAACCTTCAAGATTCTTGGCCTGTATGTGGAAGTTGTATTCCTTGTCCTTTTTTAATCCCTTCACTGATGAAAAAACTCTCAAATTCAAGTTTTGTAAACAAAACAAATTTCAAGAATCACTTTTGTAAAACATCTTTTCACAGTTTTCAGCCATAATATACTAATTACATGCAACAAAAGGACATGTAAATCCACTTACTAGTTCATAAGAAAGATACATGTGTCAACAAGTAATCAGTTACTCACCCTCATAAACACACTCATCTACTGGGTAGTCATTAGCCTGCCTCCAGTGGTGGGGTCTTCGTATTCTATGACATATCCTATAATCTTCTTAAAACCATCATTTCTTGGTTTGGTCCAAGAGAGAGATTGACAAAATCTTCATCAATGTCGAAAACACTTGGATGTCCAGGAGGATCACAACAAGCTGAGGGAAACATTTAATATTTTCAAAATTTTTCAACCCAGTTCATCATGCAAGCACAAAGACATTCTTTTAATTGTATACACCAATCAATGCTCGAATCTTAACATATCCCTTCATATTGAAACGAAGTCTTAAAGTTTGGAATTCATTTGATATCTAACAATTCATGTTCAACAGAATTATCACTTCACTTCAGCTTAGCTTCAGGGGAGAGATCAAAATTCATACACATCTACAAAAACTAATCAATCACCTGAAAATGAATTTCTTTGGCTACCACTTAAATATTTAGATGACTTGCAAAATAAAGTGGACAGACAGGACAGTATATATAGCTTGAACGAATAGGGATGTACTAAAATACTTAACTAAATGTGCATTCTCAACCAAATTTGTGCACAGTGCACTATTTAAAGAATGTCCATACAAAGTAGTCAAAATACCAATCCCAAAGATCTTGAACTTAGCATTTTACAATTTTTTCCTCATAAAAATAGACGAATTCAAAATTTGATGAAAAATATTAATGCTCTCAAACTAGGAATAATTAACATTTTTGGTGGAATGGCTCTGTTCAATGGTACCAGTTATGGAAGAAAAAAAATGCTGCTGTTTGTTCTTTATCACAGAATACATTGTATTTAAAAAAAAATTCCATTTCTTTTTTATTTTAAACATTTTTTCCTTTATATTCCCACAAAAAACTTTAATCCACTATTGTTGTGCCACTCTACGGGTACCTCTAGGAACCATGATTGGGAAAAAAAATGTACAGCACTTTCTGAGGATAACAGCTAGGACATTAATATCACTAATCAATGTCCTGTTGTGACATACATTCCAATGAAAAACTTCAATCCTTCATTGTAGCCCTATCCTACCCCACTGTAGATGCACTTCATTTATTTATTTTTAATTACAAAAAGACAATTGAACAAACTACCATGTTATGACCGCATCTTATTATGACATTTTTTTTATATGTTGATGTAAAAAAAATATTGATTCCATACTGGTTCCACCTACCCCATTAAGTCAGATTTGAACATGCAAACTTGAATCTATACCATGTCAGGACACTTCCACATAAGTTTCAATGGTTTATAAAAAGGAGATTTTTATATGAATCAAATTTTCACTGTTTCATAGCTACTTCTCCTTGAAAAGTTGGTCACCATTCATTTAAACAAATTAAAATTGCTAAGTGGTTCTCCAGAAGTAAAATGCTCCTGAGCTTTTGAGTAGATTTTTGTCTTAACCTATATTTCCACTTTTGCATAATGTTTTAGTTCTTACAATAAATTTGGATTCTACAATACCAATTAAAATATATTCAGTTAAAACTCCATGATTAAATTCCATACCAAAAGCATTAAGTGAGGAACTACTGTATGTGTACTTAAAAAAGCAGGCTTCATATTTTAGGGGGCCCTTGGCGCAGACAACAATGCCCTAATTCATGAATACCACTAAGAAATCATTTATAAATACAATATATGGTACAGACATTTATAGCGCTAATTCATGATGTCGCCAACACCTCAGAACCCAGTGATTTCGCTAAATTTTGAATACACTATTTTATGGACACATACAGTATATTTTGTGGCAGAAGGTTTTTTTTTTAGAAGAAAATGATCATTTCTTTCTCTTTCAAAGTATTTAAAGTATGCTAAGTTTGGATTCCTATTTTTCCATGCAGCCTACACACAGAGTTATTCTGAGCCATGAATTGTTTTATGCTGGTCCTAAATTATATATCAAATAAAATATCATGAATTCTATCATTATATTTGATAAGTATAGCAAATATATTGTGAAAATCCAGGAAAAAATAGCCGTAATTTAAATTAAGCTTAAAATTAGCACTATTTTGGTAATATCTAAAAATTAACATCACAGACCCCCACTTTTAATTTTCTTTTCTGAATATATAAAATACTTTTAACCATTCTTCTTAAATTCAGTAAAATGTCATTACTTTCAAGATATTTTATTGCTTGATAAATTTTTTAATGCCAGAAAAATATTTTCTGAGTGCAAAAAGGTCAAATAATTGAACTTGCGAAGTAATTTGAAAGTTTTTTGTTGTCACAAATTTTAATATACCTACATATTCAAGGTGAAATAAGACTGTGTTTGTTCCCATAATTTATTTGAAAAAAATATTGGAGGAAAAACTTTAAAAATTGATTTATGTGTAAGACGTATTTACAGTGCAAAAAAGTCAAACTAAATGCTCAATAGCGCCAAGAGAAGCACATTAACCCCTATTTTTTGTTTTGATTTTTAATTAAGCTAGGTGTGTAGATTCTAAAAATATACTTGATAAAAGATTCTCATTACTTTTGAATTTAAAATTTCAAAATTATGCTTTGTAAAGTAGAAATCTGGTGTCTGATTATAATCGATAACATTGAAACACTAGAAGCTGATTCCAAACATTGATCGAAAATGAAAATAAACCAATGCAATGAAACTCACAACATCTGTGTGATAAATGTATACAGACAGGGAAACTCACTACATGTGGGTAAATAATGCACTCTGGCAAGGAAACTCACTACATGTGTGTTAATAATGTACTCTGGCATGGAAACTCACTACATGTGTGTTAATAATGTACTCTGGCATGGAAACTCACTACATGTGTGTAAATAATGTACTCTGGCAAGGAAACTAACTACATGTGTGCAAATAATGTACTCTGGCAAGGAAACTCACTACATGTGTATGATAATTTTAAACAGACAAGGAAACTCACTACATCTGTGTAAATAATATACTCTGGCAAGGAAACTCACTACATATGTGTAAATAATGTACTCTGGCAAGGAAACTCACTACATGAGTGTAAATAATTTACCCTGGCAAGGAAACTCACTACATGTGTGCAAATAATGTACTTTGGCAAGGAAACTCACTACATCTGTGTAAATAATGTACTCTGGCAAGGAAATTCACTACATGTGTGTGATAATTTTAAACAGACAAGGAAACTCACTACATCTGTGTAAATAATATACTCTGGCAAGGAAACTCACTACATATGTGTAAATAATGTACTCTGGCAAGGAAACTCACTACATGTGTGTGTAAATAATATACTCTGGGAAGGAAAATCACTACGTGTGCAATTATTGTCCTCTGACATGGAAATTCACTACATCTGCGTGATAAATTTTAAAGTTAAAGATAGAAACTCAAAACGTCGACACAAATATTGAGGTACGTGACTAATGCAGAGATTATTAGATACTGTACGTAGCATGAAAAAAATTGCTGGCTTCACATCAATGTTGCTATGGAATGAAGGAAAAAATATACTACATGTTTTGTCTTTGATGAAAAAAGAAAAAAAAAATAAAAAAGATAGAAATAATGTTATATTGTAATATATTTCAATACAAAATTTAATATTGCAATGTATCCAAGGTATTGTAATAGGATTTTTAATTTGCAATACCTAGCACTTAACTATGAACACGATGAGTGATTTGGCAATGTTAAAACAAACTACATTTCCTTTGCAGTAAATTCATCATCAACTTGTTCCTACTATGGATAAATTATATATGGCTCAACTAGTATTATAAACAATGAAAGTATATCCCTGAATAGAAAATAGCAAAATTTATATTTTTTTTCCCTAAAAATGTATGTCTGTAACATGAATATATTTCATTCAGAATGAAAGTTATAATGAAGAAATAATCCTTGAAATATTATGTTTTTACGTTATGTCAAAAATCTTGACGCGAGCCCATTGCAGAGGTCTGAGAGAGGAACGAACGACTACTCTGCATAGGAGATTGGTAAACAGCAACCCCCCCCCCTGCCAAACAAACAAACAAACAAAACAAAAAACACGATATAATATCTAATCATAATATTTAACCTCCTGGGGTAGTGAACTCTATAAAACATGTTTAGTAGACTTATCTATAATGCATATCACAGAAGAAATATGGAATAAAAATAATCATCCCAAATTAAACATACATGTATTAACCATTAGAGAGAATCTAGGTATGTCACTCCAGTTTGTTTACTTTGTACCCCATTGGTTTTTCTGAGTTGAAATCATGTTTTTATTTCAAAATGAAATGCCATTTCACATTCTTTTGACATATAATTCAGTCTGTCTTTAATTTGATGAAGCTTTTAAATTGGATTTGCATCTCATAAGAATCCTACAATTTATTCTCAAATACAAATCAATCAGTGTTTTGGAAAATCCTTAAGTAAAAGCAAGAGGCCACTCAATCTCATTCATAACAGTATGTCACTTCTTTTCATATCCATGCTCAATACATTTCACTCTGATTCTTATTCTTCATAATTTCAATACTTTGCTGATGCTTCATTGTGTTAGCAATGTATACCAGTTCTTCTTACTTTTATACTAATTCCAGTTCTTAACTACTGTAACATTATTTTTAAATTTGCAAATTAAATCTCTGTTACAAATATCAATTTAAATATTTTTGTTGTAGGCAACCAAGAATTCAAGTAATGTGAGAAAAACAAAATGCCAGTAATATGTCTTCAATTATGTCATAAAAATGACTCTGGCCATCCGAACCGAGCAGCATCCAATCTTATAATTATGTGTTGATACTTATAAGTGTTGTCAAATCGGACAATTTTTAGTAACCGGTTACTCGCTTACTTTTCCGATCAAGTAAACGTTTACACGGATGGATTTTTTTTTAGACCTTTAAACATCCTTGCTCATGGTATGTATTCAATAATAACTGTAATATATGTAACGTCATTACAATTTCCATGTTTAACATTTACATACTGGCCAATATCAAACGCAAATGCACTGTAGATGCATTTCATTTATTTATTTTTAATTACACAAAGACAAATTAAAGCTTCTAAATGAATTTGTTCTTGAATATCCTGTAATAGTTGGCAATTTTGCGGATGTCCTAAATATAAACTTACTTTAGTTTCGTTTCTGTGTATGTTAATTTCATTTTACATATTTTACACCTTTCGGATTTAAATTCTTTTAAACATTTTGGAATCTATGCTTTTGATGGCTGTGGAGGCATCTTGTTTAAAATTAATCCTGTACTGCGGACTAGCACAGTATAAGTGAGGTAATTATAATTAACCCAGGTTTTCTACATTGTATACTGCTTGGCAATCAAAGCCATCGATTAGATAAACTGTGAAAACTAAGTGTTATCAAAACAAATCGGTCATGTTTGTGAAACGCTAGATCAAGTCTTACGTTAAATAACGGTAAATACAAGAGGCCCAAGGTACTTAACGGTCACCTGAGTATAATACAACAATTTAG